TATAAGATATGAAACTGTAACTTCATTAACCTTTTTGGGGTAATATATATTGAGGATAGTGAATGCAAGGGGCCCTATATTGCCAATCTGYATTATAACTGCTAAATATGAYGGCAGAGACCATCCTTCAGGGATGCTTTGCACGATGACTGGAAGTTCTACCCAGAGGCCATTGATTTCGASCCAAGCACCAACCCCMAAGCAAATCACCAAAATAAAAGTTAAAACTGAAATGTTTTGCCACCAATCCTTCACTTTAAGATCCATTGCTATATTTGCTTGCACTTAGATCGTAGTCAAGTTGTTTTTGCAAACTTTYACTGGATGTAATTGTAGAAATACTTAATATTAACTTTCTCCACTTAACGTCATGCTCTTACTAAATGTGGAGACTATGACTGGGCTTTATAAAATATAATTATAATTATTAATTCCTGAGACAGCAAACATTGTGTACAGCTGATACATAGCTAGGGAATGGGGAAAGGAAACCATGGCCAAGGATAAACAGACAGACAAAAACCTTGGCTATAAATATTAAATAAACATGAATGCTAACTACGGGAAGTGACTTATATCGGTGTTTACAAGCTGCAAAACAAAAACGTCGACATTCAAGTTCACTTCTCCACAGTCTAGATYAATTTCATTCATTCTCTAGAAGCACTGTTTTGGAATTTTATGAAAAAAATTAATTAAACTATTTTAGTTTGCAATTCAAAACATCTTGTCATTCATGTGTAMTTCAAAAACCCTGGCTTGTGAATGGCAACATGGAAATATATAAAGTCTAATGAAACAGCACATGAAAAGAAAATTCTAAATACAATAGCATCCATTCATGTGCTATGAACAAGCATTCTGGAAACCATGACAACTATTTCACAGWACTGGTATCYAAACTCCAAACCTACACATCTACCACACCTGAAGACACTCTAAAGTGTCAAAATCCATAATAAACACACATTTAAGTGTTTCTTCACAGATGTAATCTTTTCACATCCAAACTACAAAAGTCTTATAGCAGTAGCAGACTTTGAATTTACCACATGGGATTTTTAGATTGAGCCCATTAAGCTGCCATTACCATGTCATCAGAATAATAAATTATTTATCAAATTAAATTATTTAAAACATTTGATTTCAAGTCTATCATTTCAATATTATTTTTGATGACTTGATGATTTTTATGGTTTTTCGTGTTCTTGACACACAGTGTTGGGAAAGCTTAATATTAAATAATTTTATTAAGGGATAAACTCTAAATTCTCTGTATCAGAAATTAAGCATCAGTTAAGTTGCTGTTAAAACAAGGTTCAGTTGTACGAGTGTAACAGGTTTATAATGTGTGAATCTCAAGATTTTGAATTACATCCCCTGGTCTCAAGATTTCAACATAAAATCTCAAGAAAATGTCAAAATTCTCATGTATTTTGTTAACAACAAAAAATTGTGAACTGAGTTTAGTAGTATGACTTACTAAAAGCAAAAWATTGATGTTCAGTCTAAAACTAGATGTTTTTTTGGTTGTTTGCATTTGAAAAATATATAAACAAAATCACACAGATTAATTTATCGACTTCAAGATAGGAAATTGCCTCCGATTGTTTTATAAAAAACGTCAGTATTGATCCTTTTTTTCTAGATATAAAAAGCTAAAAATGACAAACAAAATCATAGAAATATGGCAAAACAATGCCTTTCTCAATACTTAGAGGATCCAAAATATCAAAAGACCAACCTATATTACAAAAATCAAAAACAAGATTGGATTTATAAACTAAGGTGATAAAAAATTATCAATAAATTTTCAAATTTTGAGATATGAAGATGCATCACTTAGTTTGAGTCAGCCATTTAGGATGCATTTAATGAAATAAGCGCAGTTCTTAATTATTCAAAAATTGGTCTGAAAGGAAACATTTTAGCCAAAGCAGGTGTCTGATACTAAATTATATGAATAGAACAATGCAGGACAAAACACCAACTTGTGGCTCTATTTTGATTATTAGATTGTTAATTCACTTTGTCCTTCTTCTGCGTGCAGCTGAATGTATTTCTGAAAAAAACGTTCATTGTCTATATAATATCAATCTTTGTTCCAATCAATGCCAAGCAGCCCTGAATGTCCTTTTCTCTCATAYTTGTTAAAACAAATAGCTGCTAATGAAACAACTCCATCTACAATGTAGTAGATTTACTATTCAATTTGATAAAWTAAAGATGTTGAATACTGTATAATTTAGATAAATAAAAAGGGTTTTATACTCACTAAACAAAAAGTAAAATTCAAACAAAATTAACACAAAATAAGCAAAAAAATGAAAAGTAAACTAAAAAAATTAAATATTCTCATAAAAGAATCTCAGAAAATACAATTTTGATCTTTTGCTGCCATGTATGAAATTAAATCAGGTACTGAAAAATAATAAAACATATAATAATTATTTTGTTAAAAAAATACTGTTTCATATAATATAATATAATATGTTTTACAAGCACACTTTGTGTAAGTAGTTATTGTAAACTGTGGACTAAAAATCTGACAAAAGACTAAACCACATGTACCTCTCTAAATAAACACTTTATAAGTACAGCAAATAATATAAAAAAAAACAAAACATATATTGAATTTTAAAATGAAAGTTACACAAGGACAAAACTTTGTGATATCTCCAAGATAACCCTAGTTTTTTGTCCAGATAAACAAAACATGACTCCAGATAACCCTAAAACAACTATTATTAATCCCAGCAAACTCAAATACACCCTAAGATTAATARTCATTTACAAATAATAATTTTCCCATTATATGTAAACTGCAGATTTGGACTAAATGTTGATCAAAACTTGATCTAAACAATCTTGATTCGTTTTGAATTAGRCCCTACAGAGCTAATTATTTTGAAACTGAAACTAATTTTGATGGATATCACTCTTGTCATTCTAAATTGAAAACATGGACAAAGGAAGCAAATGATCTCATAGTGATCCAATGACATGGAGACAACAGTATTGGCTGCATGCCTTTGTTGAGTCAGTGTTGCCATCAATATCCTTAGTAGCGTTCACTCTTTGTCTAAACCAGCTTAATACAAGTCATTACAAAGTCTGACTTTTTTGGGATTTTTAAACTATGCAAGTATAGAATAAAGCGCTTATACCATTCTGTATGTATAAATAATTCCTTAGAGATATACTGACATAAGGTACGGGACAGTATTATATATAAATTTGCGCACTCCATCATCTGCGGAAAAAAAACTAACTGCTTGCTAATCAACATCCTCAAACAGAATAATACTCAATATATTACTTAATTCAAAAGTCAGATAMACAACTTTCTATCAGAATTGTATTACCAGCCATTTGTCTTCACCAGTACACAATGTATACAAAAATGTCTAAAACAAAAAGTTGCGAACTTTACTTGAGAAT